AGACATGTTCATAGCCTGATCCACACATTCCTAATCAACACCTACGTTCCATTATTTTTCCTCGTCTATGTGCGCTAATTCGACATATACTTGTAGGACTTATGAGAAGCTGTGCTCGACTATAAGGAATAAATAGTCGCTTGTCGCTGAGTACTGTTATCAGTGGCAGTGTCTTTGTTATGAGCCATAGACTAAGAGGACACTGAGTAACTCATTGGAACTATAATGCACGTGTGTACTTTTGTGTGGCCATTTATTTAATCTGAGTTTTTAGGACCAACTTAAGAATCCACACACAAGTAATAGATATATCTGTAAACGTGTCCTATTTACTTCTTATTTCCCACTCTCTCTCTCTGTCTATCTATCTATCTATCTATCTATATCTCTCTCTAGAGTACATAGGAGTCTGGTGAACAGAGTGAGGATCATAACTCGTATATGCGGCAACTTCGGGGGTAAAATACTAAATAGTAAATACGGGGTACATACATACAAAGTACAAATGGGGTATTTATGTAAATACATACAAAGTACAAACCTATGAATTTCGTGTGAATACATTTAAAATGGTTCTTTATAGTTTATACTACTACAAAACAGTAAACACCATAAATAAATAGTATAGTTCTTGTTGCTTATGTTGGGGCTTGGGAGTTGCGAATTGGAACTAGAGGTGACCGGGGGCGGGGCACCTGGGCACCTGGCGACCGATTTTGTTTTGTTTTGTTAAAAAAAACAAAACCAAACAACTACAGTACATATATATGTATTCTACTCCAGTAAAATCTATATGTAAATAGAAAGAGTAGCGAATGTATTGTCGAATTTGTTCTTTCTCTCTCTAGCCTCTGGGCTCTGGCCTCTCTCTACCCTCTACAGATAACAGAGTACAGACTCTAGTAGAGAGATCAGAGAACTGAGAAGGCTATAGAATATGCTAGAGAAGAAGGTCATGGAATACACGGTTACAAGAACGGCGTAGGTCTTTTTCGCTGATAGGTGGAAACAATCCAAATTTAAAACAAAAATTTGCCTACACCTCCTAAAAAAGAACAAAACTTGAAACTGCCGACAAGAAGGCTAAAAGACTATCTGCGCCGTTCAAAAAAATTGTAAAAAGAATTCGTTTAACCGCTGAGGAAGCAAAATATATAGAAACACTTCTATACAGGCTTTCGAATATGCAATTTAACAATATGTGAGAGGTAGAAATACAGGCTTTCGAATATGCAATATAACAATATGTGAGAGGTAGAATCATAGGTGTTGTGTTCTACTCTAGAAGAAAAATCGTATCGAGTTTAATTTTTCACAGTTAATAGAGTAATAACGACTATCCTTCTTCAAATCCAGTTACAGGCCACCATTCGAGAATTGTACAAGGCATGAAGTTTGAAATACATCGTCGTGTACTAATGGCGGGTAGATGGTGTGCCATGAGTCAACTAAGGCTTAAATGTTGTAACTTTGACGAGTATATACGGTGTTTCAAGTTATTTTTATCTCCAGTTTGCTAAAATATTTTTTGTTTGTCGAACTCTGAGTAGTACAAATCCAGTGATAAAATTCATTCGATCGACCACCTAAACTTGAAAGCTAAACAAGCTCATAGTGTCACTCTGACTTGTAGTATCAAACGATTTCGTCTTTTCCTCTGTTGGGCGTAATGCCCACGTCGAGGCCAATGAACTCTCTTTAAGAATCACATTGCGTTTCACTTTCTTGAAAGGGTTGAAACTGCGCCTTCTCTGCTTCAAGCTGGGTGACTTCTCAGGATGTTGTGTGCGAGTATCCTTGTTGGTTGGATTCTTCCTGGAAGTCAAACCGGCTGTATTTTTCTTGGATGTCAGACCACCCATCTCCATACGTTGATAGGATGGAGAGATCTGTGTCACAGCTTGTAGCGTGTTAACGTTGCCGACGCACTGTTTATTTGTTTCCTTCGATTGTGGTTGCATGCCACCAAGAGCCATTCCTCGGGAGTATGGTCGTGCTGGATTGTTTGTGGTTGCTGTTGCCCGTCCACGACTTTTCACAAATGCTTGTCCAGCGCTGTTATGAGAGTCACAGACATCCTTTCTAAGAGCGATTTTGTACATGTTATTCGTTGTATTTAATTTGTAAAGGTGATTGAGTGTGCGAGTGTAAACAACAAAGAAGCCCATCGCGTGCTTTTATAATATTAGGGTAAAAAACTTTGCTGTTTTTTTAAAGTATAGTTGTTGTGATTCAGCAACGTTGTGCGACCATCCAGATCATAAAGATAATCTCTGGAAAATGCGTACATGATGTGTATGTACCATACACACTTACAACAACAAAATCAAACGTTTATTTTACTTCAACTCGACGAGTATGTATTTTTTCAAAAATAGCCAAGGTTGGAGTCTTGGACACTCTTACTATAAGACGTAAAAGTGTAAAAAATATACCCCGGGGTCCGAGGTATGGAAAATGCTGGTGTCTGTTTTATCATATCACATGATGTCTGACTCTTTTGTGAGCTCTGATGAGTGAGTGTGAGGCAGTTCAGCTTTTTTTTTCCTAAACGTATTTCTTGCACAGCCTTCTTGTCTCTTGACCTTGTATTTTTGTTTTATATTAAAACAATGTTTCAATTTGGAACTCTAAATTTAAAATATACATCATATATGAATATTTAATATTAGGTAGTAAAATGTGTTTTGTTTTGTTTTTTTTTAAACAACAAAACAAACCAAAAATGTTTATTCGTGGATCTTATAAATTACCGGTGTTATTTAAAATAAAATAAAAGATATCGGCTATGTACCGCCGCAGGCCTCCTGGACCAGAAGTTGGTAACAACAGGAAACAAAACAAAAATGCGAATATTACATTGGATGATTGGGAAAGGGAGTCACTCATTTTTTTTAGCTTTTTGCTATAGTTTGTAGATTTGTCTGAGTCATAATTGTTCAATGTTCATCAGTCAGCTGCCTTTTAGATCAAGATGACGATCAGTATGACAGCACACAGTATATGTATCATAGTCTGTGTTGTGTGAATCTCGAATCTTCAGTACGGATCGAAGCCTTCTGCCACGGTGGCTCCGTCCGTGGATCGTAACACCTACAGCCAAACAACAACAACGCAGGCCGGTGATGATAAATGTAGTATAGAAGTGAGACTGAATGCAAGATCTACTATCAGCATAGCTTGTGGCGCGATAATATGGAAAGAAGTCAATCAGTGGAAACCGAGGTGTTGACCGAAACCACGGTGTAATATAGTACACATATGTATAGGCTTCAGTTTGATAAGCACTTACAGTGATGCCATGGAGTTGAAGTCTTAGCCGAGTGCGCGCAGCGAAGTTCTCCCTGTAGTATGGTTGGTTCATACCAATCAGTATGTCTACAGGCCTTCGGATGTGAAATTGCAGGGAATAACAAGTAAACGCGGCTTTCGTATATGGCACTCAACTCTCAAGAACAACGGGAACACGTGTACGTATGGTAGCCAAATATCAAGAATATTAAGAGCATAAATACTTCTTATGAACTACTTTGTCCACGCCATCGTTGGTCGTAAGCTTCACGTACCAGCTGATGAACTTTCTACAGTTCTAATTTGCGATGCTAGCAATGTCAATGGTTGTGGTATTTTGGTCAATTGTTGTGGTATTTTTGCCGAGGTGTGGCGTGTGAGCTTCTACTTGTATGATTTCTTTCCTTGTTGCGTACTGTCACTGGTAGTATGATTGATTCTGCTGTAGAATTTTTGGCTATATATCGGCCTGGTGGCAGGAATACGAATACGAGCCAAATGTCTACAGCCGAGATGTATTGAACCCACAGGAACGGCAACCACACCAGCTTCCTACACAACATCCCACTCCACATTCAACCCTAAACACGCAATTTTACGGAAACCAGAGCCACCTACAATTCAGCGTACACACTTACTGAACGTAGCCCCTTATATCTATTGGTTGCGAACTTCCTATATCTAAGACTCGCAGCTTTACATCAGAGCTGGCTATCCGTTCGATGAGCTGTTCGAGACCGTTCTTCTTCAGCCGATTCCCTGCCAGTTCCAGGCGCCGTAGTTTACATGTACCGTAGGCAAATACTCCTGACAATTGAATAATACCGACGTCTTCAAGCCTGCCAAGGAGGTACGAGCCAATGTAGGAATTAGTGGGAACTAGTGTGAATTAGTGCGAGCCAATGCGAAAATTAATAGGAACTAATGTGAATTAGTGTGCGAGCCAGTGGATCTGACAACACTCAGTCAATGATCATGCGCCCGCGGTGGCAACCGGAGCAATTCAGATAACATATACTAACACGCATCCAGGTACCAGCATATGCTAACACACATCTAGCTAATACCATACACTAACACACATCCAGCTAAGGCTACCTGTTGTCATTCAGCAGCAGTTCGGTCACCCCGGAGTGCGCCAAAGCACTGACCAATTCCGGTGCTGCAAAGTTAGCAGACAATCGGCATCTGCTGAGATCAAGGCTGCTGAGGGTCTCTGCATGTTTTAGAGAGAGAGGAGTGGGGGACGGGGCGATGGGGTACAATCAATGCGAACGTATATGTGAAGGGCATGCTTGTGAATATACTATGGATTTGTGCATATGGTTTAGAGGGCGGCTGTGATTGAGCGACTTCATTGAGACTGTGCAAGCGGATCAAGTGCGAATGTATCGGTTCTGTTGTATTCTGAAGCACACACTTATTCTGTCGGAGTCAGATTCAGCACAAAGTGTAACAAAAATCAGGATTATGATTGGATTGCGATGTTGTGTGGATGGGTGTATAGGGATATGCAGACTGCACACAGGTATAACGAAGAGTGCGAGTGCGATAGCGAGTAAATGGTTACTCGAGCTAGTACTATTTATGCACAGAGAGAAACAGAACTGAAATTGGGCTTATTTGTATGCATAAGGCTGAACGATCTCAACGTGTAGGATGGTTGCAACCTAATATATGTATACATGTATCTAATATGCGTCACCAAGCTTACGTATAATTCCAGCATCTTGAGTACTTGCCAAGACGTTCATATATATATTTGCATACGTTTATGTATAGTTCCAGCAGTTCGAGAACCTGCCCCTGCGTTCGCATATAACATAACGCATACTTTCAACGGTTTGAGTACTTGCTCTTTAATTCTCATACATCTGGTACATATCATACACCAGGTACATAGGTATACAGAAACCTGTGGATACGTAAACCTACGTAGACATCCGAGCGCATCTTTTAGCCCATGTGTGGATGGATTATTAAGACTTTAACGGTCCGCATTTACCATGCAGCTACACAAACACAAGCCCGCAACGGAAAAATAAAACGTATCGAAATCATATCTGCACCCACACTTCTTGTTGAAGATGTGTATACATTCATATAACACGTGTTGTTAATGTATTCGTTCTGTTATACGCATTCTTCATGTATCAAGATACTTGGATATAACCAAATACCTCCCACTCGCGATCTCAATAGCCCGGCGATTCCAGCACTCATATCGGAGAGCAGAGGGGAACCTCTGGTTGCCAGCATCGACCCAGCGAGACTGATGTGCTTCAGCTGACGGAACGTTGATAGAACTTGAATAGATTCTGTAGTGGATGTGAGAGGTACAAATGAATATCCTCATGAATATCCTCATATATACTTTTGTATATGCGTGTATATACTCATAGGTAGAGATATATTATGCTAAAATAAAATTTTAATTGTATGCATGTCTATATATATTTTATATAATATATGTATATATATATATATATATATATATATATATATATATATATATATATATTATACTATTATATATATATATATATATATATATATATATATATATATATATATATATATAATATATATATATATATATATATA